ACAATATCTCTTCAGAGTTAACTGAACTTTATTATTATACATATAAGTATATACATTGGTTCTTTATACATTTATACTTAGTTTTTTTTCATTGAGCGAAAGCCAAGAGTTATACTTTTTGTGTTAGTCTGCTCCTCATTCCTACTGCTCTGTCATTTATCTAAATCTTAATCTTATTCTTATATTCAAATTAGGACTAATAAAGGTTAGATTCAAATGTGAAATAAAAAACGACTATGAATTCTGAAATTAAATGGTGTCTGTCCAGCTGCTAAACTGCGAATGGATCATATTTCAGTAATATAATGTTATCAGGGCTAATGACTTTTGCACACACCCTTGATAAATACACCTCAATGCTTATAGCAAAGGACTAAGTACATAGACTTTTGCCTTTTACCAGTAGAGCTAACTCCTTCACACGAGGAGTGAAGGGTCCAGGTTGAGAAAAATTGCATGTTCCCGTTAGTTTCTAAATTCTGTAGTAGAGGAGAGAAACAGATTGGGCTATAGTGTATTATGATGTGTTGTTTTGAATTTAAAGAAGACTTATTTTCGTTATCCACTTTGCAATAATAAACACAAGCTATTTCTTCTGCCAAATCTGTCCTTTCTTGTCATGTTTACGGCTGTTTTGAAAAGCCCATTTCGAATCTCTTCTCATTTCGACTGTAGGATCTACCTTTGTAGCAACATCATTTGTAGGGGGCACTATTATGCAAAGTAAATGGTTATCTTTTGTGTTTAAGAACGTCTTTTAAAAAACTTTGCTGCAATTTCCTGTCCCGTTTTCTCAACTTGACATCTCGTTCCCATCAGCGACATGTGGCCTGTTGCCTCATTATGGAGACGAGCCGCTAGGGGTGAATACTTTTGATAAATTAGCCTCATCGCTTCAGCCTCAGTTTAGACCTGCTTGATTTTGACAGATTCCAGAGTGGGACTCATTATACATCTGGTAAGAAAAGTTGTGACTGACTTTGATCGCAATTGTCTCTGATTTATTTCAAAGAGAGCTCTTGCAGGCACATCATTTTTTCATATTAACCAGTACACGTGAATTGGTGTCATCACGTCGATTGTTAACAAATGGTTTGGATGGGCTTGAGGGCAGTCTTGTGGGGTGTTCCAGAAATGTGAAGTCGGAGTGACAGGAACTTTGCAGAGACTTTTTGATTTCATGAACTCAACCTGGGGCTCTTTTTGTTGATGATGTGTGAAGGCTGTGTTTGTGCGCTTGTGTCAGCAAGGATAAGAGCTGTCTGAAAATGGCAGGTGTGGTTGGAGAATGCTTTTGTAATGCTTTTGTGTTCACCACTGTTGTCTTTAAGCAGCTGCCTTCATAATGTCTGAAAAGATAATGTCTGATAGATTAGTTCAAATAAGGTGAGCTTATAATAAAAGATAGAATAAAAATAGAAGTAAAATAAAAACTTCTATTGTTAGGGGCAGTAATTAGATTGTAAACTGCATCTACGTTATTCATCTGTTACCACAGGCAGGATGAGTATGGTCAGCAATAGATCATATACAGAATTGGGACGGAAGCGGAAGTAAATATAACCAACTACCTATTCATGCCTAAACTTAACCAGCCATTCCCAAAGAATAACCCCAACCCACCCTTAACCCTAACCTTAAGGGTGGCAGTAGCTCAGTTGGTGGAGCATTGGCCTTTGAGCCAGAGGGTCGTGGGTTCGAGCCAGACTTTTGCCATCGACTCCCACTGTCTGCTGTCGTTGTGTCCTTGGGCAAGACACTTAACCTCTGGGAACACCAGCCACAGTGGGGCGGCTGCGGCTGTAAAGTGCCAAACTGTCCTTGAGTGTCCAAAAAAGCGCTATATAAAACCGATGCATTATTATTATTAACCATTTTACTCAGACACCTAAAACTTAACCAGTCACCACTTAAGGACTTAGTATAAAACTAATTTGAAAGTAGGATTGTTTCATCCGCTTCCGTCCCGATTCTGTATATGATCTTGTGCCGACCGGATGAGTATCCCAACAAATAGAGTCTATCATTTGGGTTGCCAGTTTCTTTGGTGAAAAGCAGCTGTTTTGGTCACTGCTTAAACCACAGCAGATGGACCACATCAGTAATCAGAGCTGGAGGAGTGTGTGTGCTTAACATGTAGGAAAGACACGACACTGACAACAAAGGTTTTGATTCAATTTGCAATAACTTTATAAAGCCAGTATCAGCAAAAGCAACACATTGTTAATTAAAGCTGAGGGATGTAAAACCACACAAATGGACATATATGTAAAACAATGCACATGATCCTAGTGCTGTCACAAATTTTCATATGCATGTATTTTTGTTCTCATATTAGCTTTATCAGACCAAATGGTGAGACAACTTGAGGGTGGCCAATCAGCTCTCAGCCCACAACTTTTATCATCAACTCACAAGGCAAAAAAAGTGTTTCCAATAAGATGGAGAACATTTTACTCTTTCTGTTGGACAAACATGTGCTATATATGAAAAAAGTCAGCTTTAACTAAGATAGATGATTATATTTTGCATGTAGTCATTCATCAAAAGTGCTTTTAGTCACTTTGGGTATCGCACAAGACCCATATCTACAACGTGTTTCTGAATAAGGAAGGAGGGGGAGTTGCAAACTTTCCGCTCTTTCACAGAAGATGAATTTTTGCTCAGTGTGGTTTAACAGACAGGAAGTTGCGCGCTCAGTGATGCTCTTCCTGTGAGGGCTATGTTCACAGGTCAGTTTGCGGCTGCGCTTTTCTAACCGCTACTTTAAAATGCTGCTATTTTAGGTTATCAAGCTAAAATCTATTGGGGAGACCAGTTTAGTAGAAGTTTGTTTTCAAAGCAGCATTCTTACGAGGTCATGGACAGTGGAAATGCATAAAGTTTAGTCGAGAAGTTGCATTATCTCTATAACAGACAATGATGCAGGGCATCATTATTAATCAACTCATCACGACTACTAAAATGATGCCAATTATATGATCTAAAACTGGCCTTTTTACCATTAAAAGACAAATTCTGGTTGAGATGTACCATGGATCTATTATAATATTGAGATGTTCTTCCCTTGTTTACACGTTTGCAGCTCTGTAGCCGAAACATGTTAACAAGATTATCACATCGAAAGGTAATTGCATCGAAACCACTAGTTGTCTTTCAATAAGAACATTTCTTGTAACTCACACAATCTGATATTATGTCCCGATGCATAGTTATCTTTTGAAACCAGTGCTTTTTCATTAATACATCTCAGTAGATTCCGTCTGAATGCAGTTGCGCCATATTTATTTCATCGTAAACAAATTCCTAGTATTTTTTCTGTCGCTCATGGCGTCTTTCTTCATTTGTCCAGGCTGCAGAGTCATGCTGCTGTTTTCTCTGGGGAGTGTAGTGTTCTGTGCAGCTGGGCACTATTACCCAGTGTCTGCCTTCTTCTGCCCGCTGTCCTTTTATCAGAGTCTGTGTGGTGGTGAAAACACTCCCTTTATTTGGCTCAATAAAGTTCACTGTGGAACATGGTGAGACTTGCTGCTTTGTGCAACAGTGGTGAGTCAGATCTAATGAGGATTCAGTTCCCAACACTTTTTTTTATGATGTGTGCATTGTTGAGCCATAGGGTTCAGAGTCAGACCAGAGGTAAGCAATTGTTTTTTTTTCCGGGGGTCACGTTGGATTATCTGCATATTGTGGAGGGCCGGTCGCGGTTACAATTTAATTCAATTTTGCAAAACACATTTACTATTTACTATATTCCAATTAGATAGATTCAGCTGTAAAATGAAACAATCATGAATCTATTTGATTTTAATGAGGAGAAAGACATGGATGCCAACAGATCCTATATTTTCTTTGTGTTTGTGGAAATGTTGTTTATTATTAATAATATCTAAAGAATAGAGAACATATACAACACGGATGTATTTTGACCTAATTATTATCGTATATTGGATAAGGATTTAGATGATCATTTTGGTTGTTTACTCAGAGCAGAATGAGTACAGAACCAGACCAAAAGGTAAACAAGGCTGAGTATAATGTTATTAATGTATTATTATTATTACTAATTACGTTTTTTTGGGTTCTGAGTAAAATAGACATTGTGGTAGTTTTCCTGAGAAACTATTATCAACTGTCACAGTTGATAATAGTTTAATAGCAGCTTTATCCGAAAATGTAAATTCACAGACAAAATATTATATAATTTACGGAAAGGATTCACTTATTATGGTTACAATCTCTCCTCTCACCTGGCTTTGAATCAAAACAGCGATAGTTTAAGAGTACAAAAATTGAATTTTTTTTAGACCTGGGGTTCTTTGATTTTAGAATGTAGTAAAAATCACATACTCTACTGAATTGACATTCTCTATATTCATAGAATTATTGTATATGTCTATGCTTTCATGGACCAGGGCTCCTCCAAAGTGGCCAAGTACCAACTATCACAACGCTCAAGGAATGACCCAGCTTTGTATCAAACTGACTCATTTCCTTCACAGGAACCAGCAGATCCTGCACAAACAGTGCTGACAGTAACATGGTTCTGAAAACCTTCTCTTTTTCTCTTCTTACCAGACAAGTTGTACAGTTGCAAACCTGTAAGACTTAAAGTTAAGAATTGTGGTCTGATATGAAAAGAAGTTGTGTTTTATTTTCTTAGCAGGCGTTTAAGTCACTGCCCCACAATCTGTGTGTTCTTTCAACAGAACTCCTCCCATCTGTGTGTGGGAAAAGTTTTGGAATACCAAAAATGCCTTTCTCTCCTTGACATCTGCGCTGTCATTAAGCCCAATGAAGTGAGGCTCATCACAGGCAGTCGCAGCCTGGTGCACTGCAGAAATCAACAGTGCTGTAACCTGAGCTGCAAATGGCAGACAAACAAAGTTCGCACTGGTCATTTTCTCCTATCTCCCAATGTTTGCAGGCACCACATGGAGGGTGAGTCATTGCATCGTCATTCAATTGGCTTAAATTACGTCCTTTCATGGTCAACAATGAGCTCAGCTGAAGAGACTAAAGCGGGGGAAGTGGGGCCTTCTGGGAATGGTCCATTTGTCCATGAATCCACCCTCTAATTGGTTGTTATTGCGCCTGGCAGTCACCATACTACGGGGTGGAGCAGAGCAGTTGTAGGCTGGCATGTAGCAGACACTCGGAGAGGAGTCAAATCAGAGTCACATGACAGGGATGTGATCCACAACATTTCTTTGCGCTTCACTTGTGCTGTGTGTGCATTACTGAATTAGTTCTTTACCTAACCACTTATCAACTTTAGAGTCCTTACTATCAACAACAGTCAATATTGATACAAGTTTAACATCTTTGATCAATATTTGAATGAAAGGTTAACATGAACTTACTACTAATATAGTTATATTCAAACGGCTGTATTTTTGTTCAAAAGGTTAGGTTGAAAGACAGAACAATATTATTTTTCTGCTTAATATTTGTGGCTGGAGAGGTATTTCCTCTGCAAGGTGATGAGAGTTATTGTAAAAATGTTGATATGTATAGCCAAAGCTCGTCCAGTGCTTCCCAACCAGTGGTAAGATTAATTTGTCCCACAGTGGGGAAATTGCAGTGTTGCATCAGTGTTGCTTAAACATCGCAGAAATTACAAAGATACTCAGGAATTGTTTAATATTTTTTAATGATAAATCAGTTTGTTTAAGGAAAAGTAATCTATTAAGATGTCCTCCAGCATGAGCTTTAACTGTCTGAAAAGGGCTGGGAAGCACTGCTTTGCCCACATAACGTAGATTCAAAATCATTGTTTATGGCAAAAACTCTTGGTACCCATATATTGTGCATCCTTTTGGAAAGCCCACCCACTGGTACCTTCTGGTTCTCACAACAAGCCTCACCTGGAAAGCTCTCACGCTGCAACAGGCTCAGTGCAGGCAGTCTCCACCCAGGTCAAGTCAGCTGCCATATATTTGGACTGTTGGACCATTATGCATTGAGTAACGTCCCAGTAAAACCCCTCCCTCCTCTGCTTTGACGTAATAGGCGTAGTTAGTCGTTACAACCCTTTCTCTGTGCAGGGACATGGCAGCTGCTGGGATAATGTGCAGGCCGCCTCCCTCGCATCTCTGCTGTTACAATATATGGCATCTTGGGCTTTCATAGTATTGACAGCCTGAGAGCAGAGATTTTATGTAAATGTGCTCACTTGGAGTCCGTCACTGCTCACAAATGCTCTTTTACCATCTTTCAGTTATATGATACAGCTCAAAGAAAGAGCAACACATTTTCAAAATATATCACAATATTACAGGAACCATTAAAGCCGGAGAATCTAACCTTTTTTGTTTTATAGATATTTGGTTTGTCTTATCAGAAACAGGGCCTTTATCCTTATAGAGACTATTGTATCTTTTACATACTGAGAGCTGATTGGTGGAGTGACTGCTGGTATTTTGTACTAGAGAAGTTAATCTAAAGATCTCAAAGAGAACCGAAATGTCTGCATGAAAACTAGTAATAGAAACTAGAACACTAGAACTATAGGAACTAGTTATATGGAATTATTAGGTACTCAGCTTTAAGGAACGAGCATCGAGATACCCAGCCTGAGTAAAGTTTAGCAATTACTTTCCCCATAGGACAATTTCAACATCTTATTATTTTTTGGTACTTGAACACAAGGCGTAGGCGCTCATGTGCATAACCCACAAAGTAGGGAAGAACTTTAAGGCTTTATTTATTTTGCATCTTCCTTTTGTGATCTACTATTCTCTTTGGACTGGCAGCTACATCCTTTCTTCAAAGTGCAATGAGACCTGGTGGGCTTCTTTTTCAAATCAAATACTCTCCCCCTAAAGGGAAAGGAGAGATGGCTGCCTCTATAAAACCTTTGCCATCTTACTCCTCTTTTGCTTCCAGTTCTTTAGTGTCACAAGAGAAAAACTATGAGGGGGGTTTTACCCAGGGGTCCTTGCTGATAATTCTTCAGCTACTTGCTCCTCCCATCCTGAAACTTGCCTTGGGTGTCAGGTTGTTGTGACACACCTTTCGGACGCCCTCCTCTCCCTCCTCTTCGGCAGACATCCCTCCTTCAGGGTGCAGCTGCACTTTGACTCATCATCAGACCAGAGCGTGAGAGGAGGACGATTGAGGGGAGACTGGCTATGAGTGAGGGCATCTCACAAACAGGGAGTGAGTGTGAGAGGAGCTGAGGACGCTCCTGTGGCATTTCAGCATAGTTGTTTTCTGAGTATTTAGCAGACACTACACATTACACAAATGGAACTAGAATGTAGTTTTAAATAAAACAAGCATTAACAAATCATAGAACACTTGATTCATATACACTTACTGATTGTATTATTTTAGTTTCCCAGTGCATTGTCTTTGTACAATGATTTCTTTTTGTATATACAGAGTTAAAATACTATTATTTGTGACTTACCTTCCCATCTCTGTATTTTCCAGGTGTAGATGCCCCAGACAGAGCGGGACCCAGCCTCTGTGAGGGACAGGGCTGTTCACAGGCCTCCACATTTGACTGGACACATCAGCATCAGGACTTCCAGAGGAACAGTCGTCACTGGGATATTTCAGGCAACACCCTGACCTCTGAACTTTCTTGCCATGACGACTGCAGTGCAGTCGGGTGAACTAGTGTTTGAATTTGCCAGCAACGGGATGGATGAAATCAATCAGGTAGCTATGGCTTTCTGAAAGCATCAACAACATGTTTAATGCACCACAGAAATCTTTTACAACTGCCAATCACATCTGATGCGAACTCTATTGACTACAACATGTTCTGTCATGGGCTAGGAGCAGGCCCGTCCTAAGGGCTGTGCGACCTGTGCCGTCGCACAGGGCCTCGCACCACACAGGGGCCTCGCAATCTTCCTTCCTTTTATTTTATTTTATAAATACACTAGTTCAAGGGTCCCCAAAGGGCAGACTGCACTCCAAATTTGGAACCCTAAACCCCTTTCTCTGGACCTCTTTGATTTCGTTTGATCAAAAGAACATTTTTACAAGTAAAGTCAAATTTTCACCAAAAGCGATTTGTAAACAGGCAGGCGCGCGGGCAGCTATGTATGCAACGGGTCCTCCGAAAAAACTGTCAGATAACTTTAGCAGTGTCTGAGTGAGATACAAAGAAAGTAACGGGAATGATCGCAGTGTAGGAGAGATGGATACTCGCGGAGGAGGAGCAGTGAGACAGGTGTGAGCAGAGGAGCAGACCCCTTTGTGTGAGCAGAGGAGGAGGAGGAGGAGGAGGAGCAGTGATACAGGTGTGAGCAGAGGAGCAGACCCCTTTGTGTGAGCAGAGGAGGAGGAGGAGGATCAGCGGTGTGACAGGTGTGTGAGCGCTGCTATTGCCAATGTTTAGTCCGAATATCCACATCAAAAACATATTTTTAAAAGCATTAGCAAACACACTGTATGTCTAGCTTTAGCTAGCTGGAGTGTTTTTGTTGTGGTCAGAGTGTGTGGAGGAGGAGGTGAAGAGTATTTTGTTGTTGTCAGTGTGGAGGAGGAGGAGTGTATGTTGTCAGAGTGTGTGGAGGCATGGCAAAAACGTTATTTGATGAGAAAATAATAATATTGACTCCGCCTCATAGCCATTTTGGCGCATTTTGCCCAAATCTAACTATTAGAAGAAAAAGACTCCTTTTGGTTCAATCTTTTGAGTTGCTCTGCCATTTTGCCACAGGACGAAAGAGACATGTCAGCTAAAAAGACCGCGACCAATATTGCACGTAGAGTGTGTGTGCGTGTGTACGTGCGCGCGCCAAACGCTGCATAGGAGCGAAGACACTCGGTTACACGCGTGCTGATCTCGTCAAGCACCGCGCGAGGTGGTGCTGAATTCATGTCAAAGATTATAACAGGAAAAACTTTCCTCAGATCTGGGAAAAAAGTGTCAGGGCAGGGCCTCGCGTTTCGAGTTCGCACAGGGCCTCGCACCCCCCTTGGGACGGGCCTGGCTAGGAGAGTTGTTCAAGCTGCTTGAGCTCTAAATGGAAAAAGTGCTGTGACATGAGGGTGAATAGAAGCAGAGGGCGAAGCTTATTGGCATCAGGGTAACTGCTACACGTATTATTTAAATGTGTATCTTTCATGACTTGGTCAGGTGTGCAGTTATCTCTTCTACACCCTCACCCATGAATACAGTAGTGCAGGCTTGATGATAACTGTGGACGACATATCTTGTTTTCGGTGACTTTGTGTGTGACATGTTGTCACTGGATCTGTGAATAGCACAGCTTCAGGCCTAACCTGACAGACCAGTTACCAGGCTGCTGCTCGGAAGGGATGGGACCATTTCGGCTCAAAGGTCTCACATTGTTCCAGCTCTGTTTGTCACTGCACCCACTTAGCCTGTTTTACAGGCACTAGACCCACGTTTGAAAGTTCTGGAAAAACCCCTCAAACAAGGAACGGGTAATGCTATACCTCATCATCAACCATTGTACTTGGCCTCAGTAAATGTTTGGTTTGTCTATGACAAAAGTATTTGCTCCTGTGAAAATAGGGTTTGCGGCACAATATTCCTAGTTGAGTCAATACTGTGTTTTAAATTACAAAAAAATACAATATTTAAATGTGTTTGAATGACCAGGTGAAGCAGAACAGAGTATTGCTTGTGAGGGGAAGAGTGAGCTCAGATGCTGTAGCTTTCACACAGAAAAGGGAACTCAGAAATGCAAAGTTACCTGATTCTTATCTCTACAGTTTCCCTGTTGTTGTGTTTTTATTCTGCCCAACAAAGAGGAATACACTGCTATAGCCTTTGGCTGCCAGACAACCTAGTGACATTTGTCCTGAAAGTCTCCTGCTTTAGTTTTGTAACAACATCGTTTAAGATGACTGCTCGCCACTGGTAAACATTCTCACTTACAGAATGAAACAGAGGTTTGCAAAGAAGTTGTAGGACTCAAAAAACAAAATGTCTACATGCCTCTGTCAAGGACTGAAGACGCACTACTTCAATGCCTCCTTCACAGTGAAGTTATCTGATAATGTGTCTAGAAATGCTGCTCATTAATGAGAAACATTTAGCCTTTGTCAGCGATAACATTTGTAGTCAAAGCATACCTCACAACATGAGGTTTTGAGGCCTCATGGGACCTTGTGATTTCTCAGACACTGTTGACATGTGAATCTCTTGCATGTTTTATTATTTTGATATAGTATAAGAAATACATTTATCTTAACTCCTTGAATATGTGTGCTATTTAGCTCAACATTCACAATCACACTCAATATGATACCGCATTCTTTACTGTGTCTAAACCACGACGGAATGCCTGAATAATTAGCTGGTCTGTTGGTTTGCTGGTTAAACTGTAGCTGACTTGGGAGGGCAGCCGTGGTCTCCCGTGCCTCACTCCGCTTCCCCCATTCCTGCATCTCAAAGCCCAGACACCTGGTATGCCCTGGAGGTCCCTTAGTAACAATGGACATTTGTGCATAGAGACAGATAAGCCTTTATACTGGTTCCTCCCTGTGCACCTTTCCCCTTTTTATCAGGTTGTGTCTCAGGGAATGATTGATTTGTAATTTCCTGAATAACCATACATTAACAGTAAATATTATTTGTGTAAAATTCTAATTTTAAGGAATGTACACTATTCCCACAGCAAGTCATTGACTCATTGCTGCAATTTATAGATTAGTTTGTACGTGAAGGTTCTGCGAAATAGAAAGTGACCATAAACATATTGCGATCTGACCCGGTTTCTGATTTGGGTTTTGCTGCCATCTGCTGGACACGTGCATCACTTAGCTGTTGCCAGCATTACGTTATTCTAGCATTCTTCTCATCTTCTTCTTTTGCATGTTCATTACAAGTCAAATCATTTATTACATTATTATTATTATTTTATTATTTTATACAGGTAAATTAAACTAAATACTTAGCCAGTGTTACATGTTCACATGTTTAAAGGTAAGAAGCTGAACCAACCACTGATGTGATTTATGATGAGCTCTGAACTTTCTTTCACTTTTCAAAGCCATAACCAGAATTATGTAATGAGTCTATATCATATTGAGTTCACATAATTCTTAACGATATTCACCTCTGTACTACACACAATTACAGCCTAGAAGCACAGAAAATGCCCACAACCAAAAAGAGAAAGAGGGCTCTTTTGTGTGCGGCCCCTTCAGCGCAGTCCCAAATATGCAGCTCCATATCTGCTGATTTTCATGTCCCAACACCATGTGACATCCTTCATCTGCAGCAATTGCCTCGTTCACTGCAGACACACTCTGACCACCACTTAATTTCTCCCGCTTTTGGCCCGTCCCTAGCCCTTACATATTTCCATAAACAAAGCAGGGCATCTGTCACTCGAGGCCCCTAGCCAACGCTGAGTACCATCTGATGCACTTCTTCTGAGAACGAACAAAATTAGTGCTTGTGAGTCTGCAGCTGACACGAGACTCTGAGGGCTCTCCCCACAGACATTTGTTGAAAAACTCTGTGATTCTTCCCCCAAGTCCCTCTCATGCCTGGTCTAGCCTGTGCAGAGCCAATTCCCTTTGTCCCGCCACTCTCCTCCCCACCCTCTGCCCGTGTCTTGTTTGAAATGAGTTGACAAATTCAAGCTTAAAATTCTCCAGTGTAGAGTTTTGGTCGTGTTGAAGGGGGTTGTTGTCTGCAAATTCATGATTGATCCATTAACATTCATTTTGGTTTGTATAAAGTGCTAGGATAAGATTGCCTTCTCAGTATTAGCGGGCTTAACTAAACAGCTGGTTCCCGTCGTCTTCAGAGAGTCCTGGGGGCGGTTGTGAATAATAGCACTTATGATTCATCCTTGGAATCACACTAGCATCATCCTTGAATACACAGTTGATATGAAAACTTGACTCAGGGCATGGCTTATTACTATAATGCCAATAGTTTTTTTCTTCTGTCAGCACACCAGTACAGATAGGATGTCCGGTCGATTTATTGTTTTTATTGAATTTTACCATATTTTGTTAATCTTTCCGCTGAGGTAAACTACAAAGAGTTAGCTTCACAAATATCCAGTTGTGCAGGTGTTCATATGACTCACATTAATGCAGGGCTATTTCACTGTCTGAAATATTTTAGGCATAGATGTCATGAGGTTTAACAATTTGCTGATTAAAATGATATACAAGCTAAAATAAAGACACAACTATGTAATAAATAGTGTATAAAGAAAAGTTTGTATTTAAATTTTTTTCTACATTACACATTTTTGGACCAAGATAACTACATTTCAATCCCAAACACCCAAACCAGACCAAAGAAAAACAACATCAATATTCATGGGTGTATAAACCATCACACACAAAATTAGGTGACTCAAGAATTTTTTAGTCGACTTAGTAAAAGTAAAGTTATTAAGTACAAGTTGTTTGTATCACGCTGTCCATAGACAGTGTCAAAAGAATAGCTTTACAATGTAGTGTATAATTCCCTCTTCACACAGTGTTGATACGCGAGCTACTCTGGGGCAGACTACCACTATTCATATAATGGGACATGTTTTCTCCAAGTCCTTCTCAGACACTTGGAGAAACCACACAAAAAGCCATGGACTTCAACCTGAGACATTCTGTCATTGTGAATAAAATTGAAAGTCAGACTGAATACATGTCAAATGAACAGTCTACACAATAAATCCTGGTGTCTTCAGCTGGACGACCCGTCGGTGTTCCCAGCGGTGATCGTGGAGCAGGTGCCGGCCGCTGACCTTCTGCAGGTTTACTCCGGCCTGGAGTCTGATGACGTCACCAACGGCATCATGGTGGACACCACGCTGCATGTGGTGGAAGAGCCCTCTCTGCTCGGAGGAGGGGTCAACCTCTCTGGTAAATAGTCTTTTTCATAAGAATAAAAGACTCCAGAATGTGCTTTGTTTATACAGCACATGTTTTATGAACCAAACAGTTTTTTGAGTGCTGGCCATGAATAATCAGTAAAAATACAGAATAGATGGCTCCAAAGAACAGAATTAGAATCAATAATTCTCAAACTGCGTCAAAGTATTATTTTGTATTTTTTGTTTACCTCAGTGTCCAAGTATCTGAAAAAAACCTTTCTCTGCACCAAAAGAAGAAAATCTAAATGTGGAGAACTCCTTTAAGGCCCAAGACTGTGTTTTGTTTAGTTGTTTGATGATTCATCTTGGTAAACGTATTTCATCAAAATAACACAGTCTCAAATGGTCGTACTTATATATTTTCCCACTTGGTGGAATAAAACATTGGTTGTCATGACAGCCATTCAAACTATCCCACAAGGTCTTCACATGCAATTAAGAGCAAAGCACTCCCACTCAAACCTGTGTTTGTTTGTCGAGCAGAAACAACCGTGTCTGGGGCCGAGGACAGCATGGAGACGAGTGAAGCAGCCGCAGCACTTCTCAACATGGAGTCTCCAAATAATATCCTGGACGAAAAACGGATGAGTGAGTCTTGTCTTACGGCACGATATCATTTTGTTTAGAAGAGAATGAGTCATCCGTTTTATCAACAGAAACACATAAGAGTTTTTTGACAATATCCAAAACAGAGCGATTTCACTTTGAAAGTCCTTTCTCGACCTGGGGATGACATTACAATAGTATGTTCACCATATGAGCCTTAAGTTTCCACCAACAATGATTATTCTATATATGTATTTGTTATATTTTTTCTATTATATATAGGAAATTATATATTTCCTGTTACATATTGTGTTTTTAAAGAACCAAATATAGCTTTGTAAAAGTGTTGCATTGTTTAATCAGAAAAAAAATGTATATGATGTGTAAATGAAGAGCTTTATTAGTGCATTTGAATAGGATTGGAAGTACAATATTGACGTAAAAAGTAAAAACCCAGTCATCTAGAGTAAGGGTGATTATTTTAGCTGCTTCTTGCATCCTGTGAAAGTTATTCTTTAGTTAGTTCAGATGTAGCAATGTCACAAAATCATTAGTTTCATCATATCAAATAAAAATACTGCATACTGCAATACTGCATATAAATATATTATTAAACACAGAGACTTGAATCCCAAATCCATCCCAGAGACTGTCGCTGACAACTTGTATATACTGATATATGACTATAATGTTCAAGTTTATGGAGTTCATAGAAAAGCAAACACTGGCAACGTGCAATAACAGGCCGCACATTTATGAATAGTGCTCCTCAGCATGATGTACTGATGCTTTTCCATGCTTTATGACATGTGTAAATCTCTCCTTTATGCACAGTTCACACGTTCGGCATGCTGGAAGCAGATCTGACATACGCCTCACTCAGACCTGACCAAATTGACAACAGCGTCCTTGATATGTCCCTCGACGAGGACACTTCTTCCATGGATGAGATCCCACAAAGATGCCATTTCAAACCACAAAAGAGAACCAAAGGTAACTCTGCAATTCTTGTCTTCTTCTAAAACACTGTAGATACTGTGTGTCAACATTAAAAATAGTTATTATGAGTGATTATTAGTGTTATAAGTTTGGGTTAGCTGACCCCACTGCAAGGAATTAGGAAACATAATTTCCTTTGCAAATAACATTTTTCTCGTTATATGCAAAGGCTGCTTACCTTGAAGTACCTCCTATCATTTGCATTTATTTGCCAAAACCATCTTCTGTTGTTTAAATACCTGTTCTTTTCTGGCCATACGTGCGTGAATGCCTGAACCTGTCAAATCTCCGTCTCAGTCTTCACCCACGGTGGTCAGGGGCTCGTGGCACAGATTGGTAGCCTCACTTTGTGGTAGTTTGTGAAAGAAAGTAGAGAAATCAATGTGCTAAATGAAATAAAATGTATTATTGTTATACTCATGTGCTATACATGGTTTCTTCAATATGTTTCACTGGAAAAAGTATAAAACACCTCTGAACACTCTATACTCTATAAACCTGTTGTTAGATTATACATTTGTAGATTAGTCTTTTCAAAAATGATTTCCTCCACATTGTAAACATAATATTCGTCTGAAAAACCACACATGCACAGATATTTTCCCATAATGGTTCCTCCCTTCTACCCCAGTCATAAAGGTAACCCAGGTGACCTTGCCCTTTCTAATACACTACCCTGCTATTTGATTCATAGTGCGGAAGCCTCGACCGGTGCGCCCCTGTTCTCCCATCACCAACCCAAGCCTGCCCCTCAAAAAGAAGAGCAAGGAGGGTAAAGGTGAGCCACGCTAACTAGCAGTCGTCTGTATAATGAGCCAATAACACGCAAGGTCCCTGTGCCTCTTGTGCGCGCTGTTTTCTCTCTGGTGGGATGCTCTCACACTGCTCCTCAACCCTGAGTCCAGAGGCGCCCAATGTGCTGCGGTTAATGGATGGGGAGGACTGCAGAGTGCCGTGTTTCACAGGGAAAACACAAGTGATTGCAGCCTGGAGGGCGCACTGATGTTAGGCTGATACAGGCGGACTGCTGCTGCCCACTGTGAACCCTCATTGCACCATGGACCGTGGAGCTGTGTGTGTGTGTGTGTGTGTGGGTGTGTGTGTGTGTGGGTGTGTGGGTGTGTGGGTGTGTGTATGTGTGTATGTGTGTGCGTATGAAGGAGCAGAGGGTGATAAAGATACATCACCCAGTCATGTGTCTTAGATCAGAGACAAATCAAGAACTGTGGCTTTTAAAAACAAGTCTGGTCCAAACATTTTCCACATTTCACCACATTCAATAAAGCTAATAGTCAAACCACAAAAAAATCCATAAAATCCAGCTATAGTTTGTGGTACCATGGATTGGTTCTATCACTATGAGTTATTTTCACATGCATGTACTTTTGGCCACTGTCACAAATTTACTTTTTCAGACAGTAAAGTGAGGACCACCCTTAGCCATAAGCTCTCATCCCAAAAAGACAAATAGTGACTCACAGGGTTCTTTCTTACCAGTATTCATGTTCCCTACTAAGCATTCCTTCAGTGAGTTGTGGCCCAATTTGCTCACAACATTTTATTTTTCTGTTTTCTGCGGACAAACATGTATAATTCATGAAACATAAAAGTTGTGTTTGTTGTAATTGTTTGAAGTTATATGAGAAAGCAGCAGAAGGAAGAGATTGTTAGCTGAATATTTGAGGATGAATCATGAGTTTTTCTGGTACTACTGCTGTACAAACCCTGTGCTGTTATTGTCTTCAGAGAAATGTTTAGTTCAAATACATGTTAAAATGATTTAGGTGGCAAAAAATGTTGAGGGATTTTTCCTATTCCACAACAATGTTTGTCGACTACTCTATTGGCGGGGAATGTCTTGACTTTTTTGTTGTTGACTACAACCCTAGAAACTGAGGATTCTTGTCCAACTCACTGGTTTAGGAATTAAATCACATGACACTAGTCTTTGTGGATCCAAACAAATGTATATACAGCTATTCTTATATTATTAAGCATTTACATTCATGTGAACTGCTCTTTCAACTAAAAATGTTGTTAAAATGTCTGACCAAGCAAGGAATTTATAGTGCAAATGATGATGACTTTGAGTAGTTCATTGGAGGACAAGAAACACTACAATGGGGAATTTAGATTGGTTGGAGGGTTTGATGATTTCTCTCCTTTTTGTTTCGAAAGGAAGTGGCTGACTTTGATGTTTTCTTTTCTTCTTACAGGCAACACCATCTACCTGTGGGAATTCCTTCTGGCCCTACTGCAGGATAAAAACACCTGTCCCAAATACATCAAGTGGACACAGCGGGAAAAAGGCATTTTTAAGTTGGTGGACTCCAAGGCCGTTTCCAAGCTCTGGGGCAAACACAAAAACAAGCCTGACATGAATTATGAGACGATGGGGAGAGCTCTCAGGTAACGCTGTAACTCAACACAACTTTTGCATGGTTAAACTAAACTTCATACTTTTTCAGCCATGTTATAGTTGTTGTGCACCTCATAGTTAATTTGTATTTAGTGATTCAGGTTTGTTTTTCTTCATCTGTGACACACATTTTGGCACAACTGTAAAAAAAAAAAAAAAAACTGCTACTTGAAAGTGGCTGCCCTAAGTGTTCATGGGTCTTTTTTTTCTTTTATGATCAAAATTTTGATTTAAAATATTAGAACACACATTATGATATACAGTATGGTTATGATGAGATACAGTATGGCTAGCAGCACTATACATACATCTGGAGTCCCTTACTTTTATTTTCTAATGATATTTTTGTTTGCCCAAATAGAAAGTGTGTAAATGTGAAATGCTGTCTTCATCTAGAAAACATGTTATCTTTTTTATATATTTCTAATAAAGAGCCCTGTCAGTCAATATTTGATGCTTTTGGCTGAAAGCTGGTTGAGTGAGTGATCCAAGTATGTGTCAGAGGCCAAAAATATAGTGTGAAAATAAGTGATGGAAGCAAACTGTTTTGAGAGCTCGCTTCTTTCATAGTTGCATTTTTCTGGTTTTCGAAAGTTAGTTTCCCCAGCTTCAAAAACTGAATTTGTGCTTGTATTTTGTCATTTTAGGTACTACTATCAGCGAGGAATTCTGGCGAAAGTGGAGGGTCAGCGCCTTGTTTACCAGTTTAAAGAAATGCCCCCTGATTTGGTCATCATAGAGGATGAAGACCCAGGCTCTGATGTGAACTACGGAAACCAAAGATCCACCAACGGGAGGTCAGGGGCGCGCAGGAGCAACAGTCGGGCTCACGGCCAGCACCATGTCCAGGGCAGGAGCATGAAGAAGGAGCCCGTGGACGAATTCTTTTATGCAGAAATCAAAGAGGAGGAATTCGACGAGCAGCTACCATCTTTTCACTTGCTGCAAGCCAGTCAAGGTGCTCTTATTCATGACCCCTCACACGCGCTGAGGTAAGGACAATATACAGCTATCACTTCAGTAATCCCACCAGAGGCAGTTCATTCAAGCACTCACACAATTATTCAACTAAAAAATCCGGTCTCAATAAAACCTTTTATTCGTTTGGGTTATTGTGGTGTGAATAGGGTTAATCAAAAATCGTGACTAAACATAAGTAAATGTACAAACTGAAAAATGGTAATCATGCAACTTTTAGACTATTGGTTTCATTTGTATTAATATTATTAGTTGTATTGTTATCTGTTATTATTATAAGTTTCATCATATTAGAACCAGGTTTAGTCAATATTTTTAAATACTGTATAATCTTTAAGTACTTGATTTGTAAAATATTGTTGTCGTCATTGTCAATAATCTCAAATATTTGTTCAATAGTTTTTCTCACAATATATTTTAATCGAGCGACATCACCACTCATGCATCATAAAGAACTGTGAAACTGTGAAATGTTGTTAAAGTTACTAAACCTTTGAGTTGTCAAAATAGGTTAACTTCAGAAACGGTTCCTGATTCGACCTTTTTATTGTTTCGTTATGACAGGCTTTTGTTCACACATCCACCAGGATTGTTTGGAAAATTCTTTAAATCAATTTTATGTAACAAGGTCATTGAAGTAATAAGTCACAATTGAGGTTATTTTCTTCTTACCCGAGTTTACTTTAAGGGAGTGTGACCAGCCACAAATAACTTCTGGGAACCACTTATCATCAGCAGATAAAGATCTCACAGCAGACAATGTCTTACAGTGTGTCTGTTTTAATTTGATTTTTATTCTGAATATTTGTGTTCTGTACTCAACAAAATTATCATCAAAATAGCATCACAATCTTCCAAGTTTTGATGCATTGTACGATTGACAGTGATTATCCAGCTCCAACTCACTGTTTCATTTATACTCATTTCATTTTGGAGTTTATTGGACAGGCTTATTAGACAGGTTTCACCAGCAAAACCAGCATTCTATTGTGAGAAATATCAACACCCACCTATATTCCTCTGGACAATTGTACTTTTGTCTTATGAAAAGCTTTATATAGGATGTGAGAGAGTCTGTATCTCCATAAACATTTACACAGTGGTGTGATTTCGAACTCAAATGAAAAGAACTGTATCCTGAAGATGCCAACTCATTGCAGCAATGTATCATGTTACATTTTGCTTTGCTCAAGTTATTTTGCTACTGTATCAAGTTGTTGCATATTTTATCAACTTGAGAACAAGGAGAATAATGACTAGAGCCAATAGACAATGTTGTGTATTTTATTAATAAGCGCATTAGTTCTGCTGGCTGGGATTATAAATGTGTGCGGTGTAGCTTTCACAGTAAGGCTCCATTAAATAATAATCCTTGTCTCTATTTGCAAAAACACAAAATGATACAACATACAAAAGGAGGCTGGTTATATATTCTGTTTGCTGCTTTTTATGCAAACCTTGTTTGTTCTGTCTCCTAGGAACATCAGCACTCCCACTTCTGTGCCTATGGTTCTTACTTCATCCGGATCTCTGCACTCCATGCCCCTCACAGTTCTGGCCAATGGAGACTCTGCCACCTCCTCCCCCCCGCGGGTCATACTCCACACTGTGTCCTCTGCCACAGCTGCAGGGAAGGAGATGCTCCTCCAGACAGCCTCTCTAACAGGTGGTGCCAGCAGTCTACAAGATGGTCTACTTGTCACAAGCCTGAGCCCCTCTGTGTGCTCCGCCTCCATCTCCTCTGCATCTACTCCAGGAGTCATTAGTTCCACTGCTTCAAACATCAACGGGCTGCCGCGCCTGGTCACTATCAACACCACGAGTGGGCAGACTATGGTGGCCCAGCAGCCGGGCACGGTCATTGCTACAGTGCTCAAATCCAGTGACTTCTCTGGGCTGCAGGTCAAAGAGGAGATGTTGGACCCGAGCTACTTCCAGTCGATAGTGAACGGTGACCCATCACTGGCAGCAAATACATTTGAGAAGCTGGATGAGCCCGAGCTGTCTTACCGGACTGTGATCATTGACAGCGGTCACCAGCAGGGCCCTGACGCTGGGTGTGAAACTCTAATGAATGGACATGTCTCCCAGAGAAGCAGCCCCAGTGAAGGCCTAACTCCTGTGGTAGAGCTGGAGGTGCACGAGGAGACGTCTCTACAGCCTCAACACACTCTCAAAAGCCTGCACGAGCTGCCTTTATCTCTGCAGCTGCCTGCAAACTTTATCCAGATAAAGGCTGAGTCTGCAGAGGCCTGAGGGCTGCTGGACTCCTCACATGCACCACGAGCAGCATGTGAACCAATTTAAACACAATATTTCGACTCATTCCACAGTGATCTGATCAAAGATCAGAGCAAGGGATCTTGCTGCACAATGCTCTTAAAGATTGGCCTCAGGATTTAATGTTTACTCACACTTTTGTGACCATGTGCCTAATTTTTAAAATTTAAGGGATTATTTATATTTAGTCCCTGTTTGGACTTGGAATTACCTTTGATAAATCCCCAACAGACACACGTATGCCCACCAGGAGAAGAGCCATTGGATAAACCAGTGATCTCTGTAACCTATATGTGCCAGTTAAGTTACCCTCATTTTATTTTATGATGAAAGAGACTCGCTTTATACCAGCTTAAACCAAAACACGAGACTGAAAGAACGAGTGAATCAGAGGAGTGAATGTTAAAGCCGATATTAAGCTGTGTGCCTTAAGGATGTGTTTGCAAGTCATTAAAAGACTTTGTTGGAAACAACTTGCAAAAGATTAGCAGTAAGCTAAATAGCTTAAGACATTCAAGAACATACTTCCTCATTTATTTTGGTACAAACATAAAAGCTATCCATCCTCTCCCACAATGCGCCTTAAAACACTGTGTTACTATGGAAATGGGAATTTGTGTGTTCCAAGGACAGGCAAACATCAAAGATTTTTATTTCGAGCCGGAGTCCAAAGGCACCATTAAGCAACACAGAGTTTATCAAAGACTGCATCTTCAAGGTTTAAACTCTGTTTATATGAAATGGAATATATTATAATGACATATATGTGTATGCATTGATACGTTTAAGATTCATTTGTAGGGCCACAGCAAATTATTTATTTAGTGAATTTCTAAATTCTATAGAAACAGCACATTTGACTTCGATTTACACACATGAGGGAAATGCAGTAAATGTCAGTGAGGATGAAGCTTACTTAAAGAATGATTACATCATTTGAATAGCACCAGACATTGTATAATGAGGAGTATTTTGTGACGTAGAGCTTAATTGTACATTATTATTCTGCTGTTTTATTGTGATATTGTAGATACAATTTGATTTAATCATGAATGTGCCTTTTCCTGATGGCGGACATACCTCACCATGCGGATGCCTAAGCGGGGGTGTCCAAACTGTGGTCCTGGGCCACACTCGACTCTCAGAGCACTTTCATGACGCTTGGGCGCCCTGATAAATCGGTCCACATTATAACAAGTAGTTATATTTATTGAACATTTAGAATTGATTATTGTTTTAACATTCATAAGAAACATTTTGGTATGAAACAGACCAGATAAAAGTTCTGAGACTGAATAAAAACATGGGTGTACATTAAAACCTAGGTTAAACATCACTTTCTGGACATTGGTTTACGACTATTATAGACATATTTTCATTTGCATCTTTCAATGAAAACATTATTGACCCTTTGCTTTAAAGCATCCAATTTAACCAGTGTGCTCTTGAATTCGTGCCTTTCTTCTGCTCAGGGGTCAGTTCTGTCTGTGCCTTCTTCATTTTCTGGCCCACTTTGTTAAGGACCTCTCAGGGCAGCCGTCTGATTGGCCCCTTGGTCCTGCCTGGATGAAGCCATATTGATCCTGAACGGTTTCTCTGCTAAATTGGTTGTATTTTCCCCAGACTGTAGCTTCACACTGAGGGCATTGAGACATACTGACCTCCAGCTGCACCTAAGGACAGGCCCCAGTCGCTGCTTACAGAGCCTGTTCCAGCACTCTGAATGTATAATATATGTGTCCCATTTTAAGGTTCATTCATGGGACAGTCTTTATTACACTGGTTACATGTGCATTTAAATCCTACATGAGTATGAGCTGCTTTCTCACTTTCCTGAGGTATGTCCGCTGGGCCTGTTGTGTTGCTTTTACTGTCTTGGGTTGTCAGTAACCTTTATGCTGAATATAGAATGCATTTTTACAGAAAAGCCATGCATAATTAAAAAAATCCCTCCATGAACTACTTGTTTTTGTTATAGAAAAAACATGAAAGCCAGACATCACAAAACAGAATAATTTTATAATTGAATCATTTAAGCTGGAGCACCCAACTATTCGTTTAAAGAAATATGCTTTTCAATATGTATTTACATGAAAATATATATTTTTATAAACCTATTTGCATTTTTTAAAAATATTTTTCTTCCAATAGAAAGTTTATTTCTAGTAATATTTGCGAAAAAAGCAGATCACATGCTGTCTTTATCTTATGAGAAAACTTTCTCTACATACACTGAGAGCTGAGTTGGTGCTGGTACTGTTTTACTGAAAAAGCTGATTTAAAGATGCAACAGAAGTATACGGAAACTATTGATCCATGGAAGGCTCTTGTGCCACCTGGGTTATTCTTTCCTGGACTAGACAGAAAAAGTATCTGAGGAAGGTATTGTGGTCCTATGAATAAATAATTGACATCTGCAACTTGAGATTGCGAGGCTTTCTTCAAACTCGAGACCTATAGGAACTAATTCCATGGATTTGTTTTATATATCTGCGTTTCAAATTATAAGCTTTAAGTTATTTTTCTAACTTCCGTTGTATTTTGACTTTACATGCAGATTCAAGGGACATTATTCGACCACATGACATTTGAAAAGTCTGAAAAATCCATGTGGTGACTGGCTGGGAGCCATTAGTAGACTGGAGACTGATTGGTCTGTATTTAAGAGGGGCACTGCTTCTCCGGTGGCAGTGGTGGGTGGATGAATACATTAACATATGACATGCCCAGAGCCGGAGACAGCGAAGAATCCCTGCTGCTGCTGACTGAAGGATGTGAGAGCTGAGGAGGAGGTGGTGGAGGAGAGTGGAAGGGGTTGCACTGACGGAGATGGATTGCAGTGCTGTGGATGTGGATGTTGGCGTCGGTTGTGGCTGTCTGGCACTGTCGGCTTTGCCTACACCCACACTTCTGTGCACCAGGGTTTCACAGCTCACACTCGGGCAACACATGGCCGGTGGGTTATAGCCTCAAGGACAAGATATTATTTATATGTCTCTCATACTTGCAAAGCATTCTAGGTCTTCTATTGTAGCATGTATAGAGCACCCTGCAGTCACATATCCTCTCTGTACTGCGCACAAGAAGTGTATTGATTTCCATTTGAATGCGGCTTTTAAGTGTTGCTTTAACTCAGCTCTTATTCCCTCTACTATTGTTGTAACCTATTATTACATATCAATACTAAACAAAGTGGTGAGAATAACAACATATGCCTGTCTTGTAGTGTGATACTATCTATTTAAAGCGTTTTTAAAGAGTGTTGAAAAAGTCAAAGCCAAATCATACCACACACATGCTGTCTTCATCTTATAAAACATTTTCGCTTTTGCACACTAAAGAGTCCTGTGATTGGGTGAGTGAGGGTGGTCCTCTGTATTTCACTTTTATCTCAGAAAAACCTGATCAAATGATGTATGCCGCTAAATAGACACTAACTATTTCTTGAGCGCAAGGAACTGGTTGCATGAATTGTTCCCTTTATTGTGCTTTGAAAATGAGGTACCCCAGCTTTAATCTATATGCAAATGAAACGAATATATTCAGCCCTTCACCTCACCTGAGCAGAAGGTATTTCCAAAACCATTTCTTAAGCCACGAACAAGACACAACCCTCCAGCGTGCTCAAAACGGCACTGCTTTTTCTGCTCCGCGCTCTCATCGATCGGGCTGCCATATGGTAAAGCGCGTGGTTGTTATGGATCACCAGAGTAATGGAAGGCTACGAGCGTGCTTTATGTGCGCGCTGCTCCCACCGTGGCGACTGAATCAGAGGGAGAGGACTATTTCTGTGTCGCCTCCAGCCACTGACACTGCGCGATGTTTACTGCTGTGCCATGCTGCCTCTCACAGTGGGGACGGCTGACTGATGACTGCTGACATGACTGCGCCTGGAGCCGAGGGCAGAAACAGTGGGAACGCGACAAAGAAGAGATTATTTAGCCACCAGGTCACCGCAATTGCCCAGACAGCCACATGACGCACCGGATTCCAACACCAAGGATGCGATAAAACTCAACCACGCTGTCTTTTTTGATTAACAACAACAAGAATGAATACGACAAAAAAAGTTCAAGTAGTGTTGTTAAACGTCCAATGATTCAAAAGTGTGAAAAACAACATCTGGATCAAAATGTCCCAGTAAATTGCGCAGTACCGTTATCTCTCCACAAGATGGCACTGGTAGTACGCGCGCCTGCAATGATTTCTTGTTGCGTTTTTGCTTCAGGTCAAAATACAGACGCTCCTGTTTCCACTGTTCAACATTATAGATTTAAACGAAAGAAGGGATTGTATTTTTGATAACAATGTTTCTTTTCGCGTGATGTCTGCCGTTTCCTGTTTTTAGTGGCCAATTAATTCACAAAAAATAGTGAATATGGCTTGGGGCTGACTATATGAGGTTTCCTTTGAACTGCGCCACAACTTGCGCGCTTTTTACGCACCATACGTCACTCCCCTTTTTGCAGTCCACCTCGTTCTCCCTCCACAATCCTCTTCATGTTTTGTGTGATGAACAAGCAGTCTGGGTATTACAACACACGTGGGGCTTTTTAAAACACACGGACTAATAGGTAACTGATAGGTCTCATATACCCAAACATGCCTTGCAATTAGAATGCAAATCAATTCTATGTATCGACTACAGCACACGTTGGAAATAATTAACTCTTCTTTCCCCTAAATAAATAATCTATGTTCTGTGTACCGTTTGTTCAGTTCCTGTCAGACTTCATTAAAGGTGATGTCATGCACTAAAATTGTATTCATTATTTTAAATGAAATGAAATAACATTGAAATTAAAATTGAAATTAAAAATGTATTTGAGAAATTTCTGATATATCCTATTACTTGGGCCAGTAAGATTTTCTGGAGGAGATGGTTTGTTTTTAAATCTGACTTGTTTGTGTATGATTTTATCTGTACGTTTTAAATGTGAAGCGCTTTGTGATCCTGGTCTGTGAAAGGCGATATACAAAAAAACTTTACTTAAGATAAGATAAGATATACTTTATTGATCTCACATAGGATAAATTTACTTACTGACTTACTTACTTAAACCAATGACATGGAGCCGCTAGGATTTGAATTAATTTGGACCAATCAGGATTTTGGGGGTGTCAGCAAGCGCGAGGCGAAACAGTGAATGTCTTCTAAAAGCTTCCCTCTCTCTTCACCATTTGAAAAGTAATTCATGTTCATTTTAACTCATTTGACATAAGGTCATTTCTCCCTGTGCTTCACTGAGGATTTGCACCACTCATACATTCAAACATTATAATCAACGCACCTATTTGCAGTCACGACCCCTAGAGTCGCTATCTCATCTTTACAAAAAAATCATAATTATCATGATGACACATTTCTCCACTTTAGAGTTTGACTTTCATAGTTAATTTTCTACTTTTTCCTCTCTAGTCCCAGGGGCAGAGAGGTGCTCAGAGGGAACCCAAGTGTAATATCTGTATCAACCTTCTTCACTCAGGGTCCGCTCCATCCCATTCACACGAGGGTCTCACGGCCTCCATGGCAATTTACTCTCTCCGCAGCTGCAAAAAGAAGTCATCAGATACCTCAGAGACATCACAGTGCCTTGTATAAATATATATGTATAGGAACAAAAAGAATAAGTGAAACAATTGCAACAGAAATCACATGTATTTGTTTAAATAAGCCACACAACTTCGTAATACGATTGTCAAGAAAATCAACAGTTAACTTATTCCTATTGTGCCTTGGGGGGATTCAGCTGTACACTTGTCAGTTTATTTGAAGTATGCTTGCAATTACTGCATTTGTTAACTCACAACGCCCCTATTCTTTTCTTGACACATTGCTCGAAGCCATTGCCATTATTGATTTAAAAATAACAATATGGTAGCAAGCCTGAACTCCCATTTATGAGCGTATCCATTAAACATTTACATAGAGTAATATGTTTTGAGCCAAACCAGGTTTCGGCTGCCAGATATTATTGATGTAAGTGACTGTATTAGCATACGCAGCCCTACTGACATGAATCAACAGCAATATTATCTTTTATATAAACAATGCTTTATTACAATGCTCTCAGGAGACAAGATGGAATGCAAAACAAGAGGAGCCATACAGGCCTGTCTCTGTCACAAGGCTTCTATAATTTCATGCTAAATGTTTCTGCTAATGAGCGCCGAGGCTAAAGAAGACGAGAAAGATGAAGTGTCTATTATGTGGATTGCAAGGCGCACATTTCAACAGCTTATGCACCTTGTTTAAAAGATGACAGAACAATTTGAAATGCAGATCTGGTTTATCTGCCAAGAGTTTGTGTGCGACAGACAGACGGAAATGTAACAAAGATGAAATCCTCTTAGAGAAAAAGAAACAGCAAAATACCATTGAATAGTGCGTTTTGTGCTTTTGTGACAATGTGTAACACAGAACAAGCAAAAGTGTAAGGACATATGTTGGAATCATGTTTTCTCACGGAATTCCTTATCTCATACTATATAAACTGTATATCAAAAAATGTCAACTTATTTTGATTGTAAACCACCAAATTCTGCTGAAGAAAAAGACTGGATATCATCAGCCAATCAGCCAAATCCTTTAATGATAATGAGTAAAATCAAATTACTACTTACATTGTATACTGCCATCGTTACATGTATCATAAATTATACAATACAGACCTGTCATTGTTTTCTTATAGTTTCTCGCAGTTACGCACATGTATGTCTGACAGGCGTTTCTATGTGTTATTTATGAACAACATTTGCCGTGAATGCAAACAAAAAAACACAGAAACTGGAATATATAGCGTACAGAGATAAACTGTGAAAGCAAAAACATACGCGAAAGAAACACATTAATTCATACTGTATACGATAAAAAAAAATAATCTAAGGGGATGATAGGAGGGTTGTATAAAGACGGTAACTAGGATCAGTCAATCAAGTGTTCAGAACAGTAATGCAGATTGATTTGTGACCGTTAAAAGCGAGCAGGACAATTCAAGGAAGTTTATACGCAAACCGAAAAGAGCCCGATATGTATAAAAGCAAAATATATTTAACAATATTCAAGCCCTTATTGAACATAACACTGTGGGAACTGCAGAGTAGCCAGACCCCATGTAAAAGTAACAAAATTTATCAAGTAAAAGTAGGCCACGAAGCACTGGTCCAATACGAGTAATTAAGTATTTGGGCATTTTACTCAAGTATAATACAGTATGTAGCTGGAAAGATCTACTTTTCTTTCTAAGCGGGGTGTTCCATTTGATGAGAAAAAGGTTGTGTACCTCACCTTTAAGGGTAGACTCCTCAACTGGCCTGGTGGCGGGTCAGGTTTTGTTTGGGTTCATTTAAATCTATGTTGTTTTGCTTGAATGATTTACATCGGAATCAAGCATGTGACTTCAATTGGCAAAGTGAGACATATATGAGGAGAGGTGGGACATTATCCATCATTGAAAGTGTTTTAAACCAATCATTTAAAGCATTGAAAATACATATTCAAGCCTTTAATGGTTTCCTCAACCATTTATTATGCTTGGAACTGAAATATACCTCTTTGGGGCGTCTCACTTGGCTTTAGATTACTTTTACCATCAAACTGCATGGTATCCATTTGTTTAAACATTGGGGTAAAAAACAAAAAACTAATTATTTGTGTTATTAGTGCTCCTACATCTCAGAAAATCCAAAAAGAAAAAAAAAACTATCATATTGCTTTCTTCAAGGAGTGAATGTTAAAGGGCTAAGCAAGTACCGGACCTGTTCACAATAACGCGTGTCACCACCAGGACAGTTGGGAAACACATCTTTAAGTTTCCTATTCCGCTGTTGAAACTGATTCTAAGTGGAATGACTTTTCTGATTGGGTAATGATTGCTGCAATGGAATTCTTTTTCACCACCAATGCCCCACCTAAAACACAAAACCAGCCTCTCAGATCCGTCCGAACATGCGGGCGATCCACCAGTTGCAGGGCATGACAATTTGACAGATGGTGCGGCCTCCCTGGTAGTAGTAGGGCCATGGGTTGAAACCACCCAGCGGCTCGTGGTAGCGGCGGCAGTAGCGGTAACCACGGCGACAGTGCTGGCAGCAATAGCCGAGGTCATCCAGGCGGCTATCCAGCTCGATGCCGACGTCCCTCTGCAAAAGGACACGAGTGGTGGGACAGCGGGTTACAGGCAACACACACAAACACACACACACGCATGCACATACACACAAACGCACATGACAAATGCCACTGGTTCTAAGGCAAGGTGAGGATGGATGTAAGAACCATAACAGTGGTTTGTGTGTCTGTGTGGAAAGTGTGTGTCCGTGTGAACAAAGAGTGGTGTCGAAAGTGTGTGCGTGTGTGTCTGTGTGAACAATGTGTGTGTGTGTGTGTGTATGAAAAAACATTGTTGCCCTATGACTTCAGCCACACATCAGCCTTCTATGGCTGATGGTAAGCCCTTATTAAAACCTTTACTTTCAGGCAGACCGTAAAAAAAAAATCTATTTCTAACTTTTTGTAGTAGTAGTTTTACACTGATGCAGCCACAGACTATGGAGAAAACTGAAAATATGGCCAAACTGGAATGAAATATGGATAATCTTCCACAAAATGTTTACAGTGTTTTGCAAAATGTGAAAAATGGCAGTATTGATTGTATAGTTGTATATTTGTTGCCATCCACAACTGCACAATACTTTGTTTGGAAGTGACAAATAAATCAAATAAAACGTTGTAGAAAACAAAGCAGCAGCTATAGGCGCACGCCGCTACAGGCTCTGGAATCTCACACTGCTGATCTACACCTATGTCAGGCTGTTTGTTGTTGAAGTAATGGTTATGGACCATGAAATTGACTTTGAAAATTGAAACATTCCCCAGCAAGAAACAATCTATTTTGAGTGAAAAGTTAATTTGAGTGATTGAATAGATCAATGGACAAAAATAATACCACACAATAATTTTTTTTATCAGTTGAGCTGCCTTTTGAGTAGATAGGGAACATGTTTGAACTGTTTGGAATCAAAATCGTGATGAAATTGGTTTCCAAGTAAACTGATACTAAAACGATTGGTCAGTGAATTCACCAATTTTCAGAAACATGTATCCAGAACTGAAAAGTCTATCAATGCAAAACGTGACAAAAATTGAGCCAAAAAGTAGAACATTTTTCTTAAAACAAGATTTGCCAATAGCACAAGCTCTAATTTATTTTGTTTAATAGAAAAAAAAAATATCTCCTTTGGAATGAGAATAAGTAATGCTATTGCCATTTATGCTCGTCCCATTGGAAAAAGTAGTTTGAAGACAGATAAATAAGCTTCAAAATCAAAATAAAAAAATGGTTAAATCAAGCAATGTCCTAACTTGTACTTGTACCCTTTTCAACGCAGGTGGGTTTTCTTAATTGCACAGAAAACAGTCCAAAGGCCTAAAAGTTATTTTCTCTGTAACATTGTAACATCATATACATTTAGCGCTAAGATGTTAAAAACAATGACAACCGAATATTTGGAGAAATACATTTAAAACTCTTAAACAACCGTTCAATAATACATATTATATAAAGTGATGGTGATGAACCGTGTGGCAGAGATTTGGCATCTACAAGGTTGATTCAAGATGGTGGAGAATAAAACATGCTGTGGTTTAATCCTCTCTTGACCTTTCTATTGTGCCAGAGGAGGCTCATGCTGTAGGCCTGACACTGCTCTCAGTCTGTGTCAGGCTCATCTCCAGTCAACGACTCTCCTGTGTCGGTAGTTACCAGCATAATTACACCATTCCTTTCATCTCTGACCTCTTTAACTCCCCCAACTCCAACTCTCACTCTGCCGGACCCCAAAATGGCCCTCTCCCCTTCCCTCCAATCGAGCATTCAAATTAGCTCTCCCCACACCTTGGCGCACTCCCTCTGACCTTGACTTTAAGAGCGTGCCGCATTCCTAAAGCAATTAGCAGCGTAATGATCGCCCTAACAAGGATTCTTTCATTTGCGCCTTGAAATTTATAGAGGTGGGCAAAGCGAAAGGTAAATTGGTTAGAATTAATGGCCCTTGGATTTTTCCATTGTACGTTGCGTTGTGGACTGCAGGCAGGGGTCGCTTGGCAAAGACTTTGGACGAGAACAACTCCAATTGGGTTTTTTTCGGTGAAGTACCACTTAACTCACCAGTGGAGGCAGTCGGAAAGCATTTGACCACATTTCAATCTCTTTTAGCAAATGGATCCATGGAGACGGACCTGGAGAAGGAGTAGCCGACCGTGCCGCTGCTGCTGCTGACTCCGACACTCCACAACAAGCCGGCATAATTCCCTTTGTAAGCGCTTAAAAAATGACTCAGCTAACATGCAGCGAAGCGGAACAAAACACATCCACTGCCGGGAATAGGAAATGTGTGTGAATTGTTTAAGAGGACAGGACCCAAAGGAGCAGAAGGAGAGCCTGGTTACTCCCCTGCCACATTATGGAGGGGATTTAGATTTTAGAAACTGACTGACTTTCATCTCCACTGAAATACTGGGAAGTGTTTCAAAGGTGTTTACATGTTCTCCCTACAGTTGTTTAAAGGTAAGAAATTAAATGTTCTGTTTAATGAGCCTAAAACGTACAAACTCACAATCGTTTCCTTTTTTGCACGCACCAAAATAGAGTGCAGTGCAGACTGAAAGCTGAGAGTTAAAACAACGACCAGAAACAAATACATTTAATTGATTAGATTCAATGCATACAAATAATGTAACCGTGTCAGATTGTATTCACAGTTTGCTTGAAGAAAAAAAATGCAGATCCAGTGCAGCAACGGGAAAAAGTTTGGGTCATTGATTTGCAAAGGTCTCATGTGGAAAGCAAGTCTTTATAAACAAAGCCTTCATTCTAAAATGTCATAGCTTTTAAAATCCAATGTGAGATTAGATTATTGAACGGTCAATCGTTCCTATCCACCAAGCCAAATGTTATAAATGGTCTGATTTGTCTAACATTTGAAAAGTTACATCACTGCAGATGACTCTATAAGAAAATGGCATCAAGCATCACAGGATTTGATGGTTGCTTTTAAACAAGTATTTTTGGTTGTAGGTTTTGGTGGTGTACGTTCACTGGTTTTATTGCATTACTATAATCTTTGTTGGCAGAGTCGATGCATGTTCAGATCCTCCTCCATCTCTGTTCCTGATGTGCTGCTGCTGCTGGGCTTTAACCCTTCAAGGTCTAAGCTCATTTTGGGGAACTTTCCTCGCCTGGTTTTCTTTGTGTATAATTGTTCATAAAACAGTCATCTTGTGATGCAGAGTCAAGCAGTATACTTTGTTTTTTTCAGTACAACCTGTGGATTTATAATATTCATAGTGTACAGCTGTCATATGAATTATATAAAAAATATGGAATCATGAAGACAAAGAAAAAAATGAAACGGAAATTCAATTTCACCAAAATGTTTTGAAAAACACAATGAAATGCTATTGCTAACTTTTTACACTGTATAGAAATGTTATTTAGGGTCTTGGGGTTGATGTGGAAAAAAATTTAACCTGTGACTATTATAATTTTTACAAAATTCCACTACAAGTGAAAAAAACGCTGTACTCCTGATGCCCTTCCTGAAGCAGTTTGTCTATGTCTATATATTGCTTCAGTATCACAGCTGTAAGATATGTAAAACAAAAAAAAACTAAGAAAACAAAGAAAGAAAAACAACATCTTATATTCATATACATCATATCATTATAATGTATTTATCGATGTCAATAATAAATATATAATATAATTACATCAATAATGCGCACTCTTCAGCCAGGTGCTGGCTCTTGTGAGCGCTGCATCTGCGTCTCCTCCTATCTTTGTGTAATGCACTTTCAAGCCCAGACTCTGAACACACACATCACTCGTAGATCACGTAGATCAGTGATCAAAAGCTACATTAGCTGTGTCGGGGACGCATTTTCGTAACATTCCGCTAAAATAATGCGTCTTTTACGCATCAGTAATTGCAATCGCAGCTGTAATTTCAACTATGGGACAATAAATACACACAGGAGAGTGGATCATCCTACTCTCTGACAATCTTTGGCAGTCCCTGTGTCAGCGTGTAAGCAAAATAACTTTACTGTTTTGGCTGTTTTACCTCACGGGAGACCGCTCGAAGATCCGATTGGACACCGACTTTCAAACACACGTAGAAAATCCCCCAAAAGTCACACAGACAAAACAAAACTAGCGCTGTAATGCCTGAAATGTGTACTTCACGGAGAAAAAAAAAGTAAGTCGCTACGTTTTGCCGTTCATGAGAAAATTGAACATTTATAAAACATGTGCGCAGGCGTCAGATCCGACGCTCTAGACCCCAGAGGGTTAAGCAATGACCATGGATCTATTATATTAACTGGATAGGGTATTACTGGCTTGGAGCTGAAGAACCATGTGCTCAGGGGATTCTCGTGGTACTGCAGACTAAACCAGACTAAATTCACGTGGGCTACCCAGACATTTTCCCCATAGAACTCAATGTAAACTAAAACAGCGTGACCTCAGCTGACAGAGAACCTACAGCTTTAATAAAGGTTGGATTTTGTGGGAATGTTAGTGTCCCTTGTCATCCTGAACTTTTTTTCTTCTGAAATCCTTCGGTTTTCTTTGAAGCTACACTTTAGTGCCACAAACTTTGTCTGTCTGTCTCACGCTCTAACTCCCACTCTGATGAGCAGTTCTGATTGGTCAGAGCGCGACCGAGACCCTCTGGGCGCGTGCATGACAGCCACACACGCGTATTTCGCGCAACGGATCATCCACTGTGCAGAACCAGGCGAGTTCCGCTAATAAGTCAGCGACCGTGCCGGTGTTCTGTCGAGTTGGTCTGCCCGTCGAGATGATCTGGCTCAGCTGTTAATGATGTAATGCAAACTAGCGCTGCGCGTCTCACCGCAGCCAAAGCAATCCAAGATGGCGGACATGTAGTCGGCGAATTGGTTTAAAGTTAAATACGAACGAATTGAGACACGAATGTCACTTTTAATGCAATTTGAGGCGAGACGTTGATGGTTCCGTGATGTGATATGTGTGTTTTAAGAGTAAGAGTTTCGTGTAAAGTTTGTTTTAAGCAGTCCACTGATCCTGTGAAACTATAGTCAATACAGAAACAGATAA